TATTAAACTAAACATGCTCTTATAGTCACTCAAAAACTTAAACAATAAATTGTTCATACAAATGCTACAAAGAACGTTCAAGGATATTTATATCATAGTTGCATTGTACAACTATATTTTATCTGACCATAAATAACTTTTAGTAGATAAATTACAACTACTACCACCTACTATTATTACAATGTATTGGGCTGCTACAAGGCTAAGGGGGTTTCTGGGGTATTTCCCCGTAAGAAAATTTTGAGCATTTTAATGTTAAATTCATCAATCTGGTGCACTTTGAGAGTTCAAAACTAAAAGCTCCAACCCATATTCAGTGTGCAAATTGAACAAAGAAAAATTCAAACCTCTTTTAATTATAGTGTCTGTCTACATTACACTACTACATAATAATAGATATAATATTAATCCCATGACAGTAATAGCCATAGGTATATATTGTAAAACAAATGCACTGAAAAATAAAGGAAACTTTCATGAGTATTGTACAAATGTCTATACTTGAAAGTAAGTTATATTTGGAAGTAACCCAGCGCCGCCAATTAAGCAAAACAAAACAAAACGAATGGGCCACCGATGTACGAGTTTTATGGGCCGTTAAGACAAAAATAGAAAAAAAAAAGTATAAGATGTATGTATCGGCCCAAAAAGCACGTCGGGCCCGCGGGAATCTCCCGGTAGTCCCGATGGCCAGAACATTTGACATCTTAATGGATGAGATGAGAAGACTTACCTCTATACTGGGCTTTCTTTTTATCTTGTTGCTTTCTCCGTTTCGTCCCTGTGCACCAGAGGGTTTAGACCGCTTCATTTTCGATCAGCGCGCGCAGCAGCCGAGCACTTGCCTAACGTAACCATAGAACGTAACGTAACGCAACTAACCCCCGCCCCCCCTTTAGGAAATGATCGACAATAATCATCCATTCAATCTAATAATCAAGTTGACAAGTAATTAAACGTATGGCTGAGGGGCGCCTTAGGATGATCATGTTTAATAAACATGTTTTATTTCGCTTGTCATTCTAATTCTATAATTAATGGGAAGTAGGCAAAGGGCGACACTAGAGGGCGCCCGCGCCCCCAACACATTTGTCGCCCTAGGCAACCGCCTAGTTCGCCTATAGCAATCGCCGGCCCTGTGCACGTCATTTAGGTTTTGTGCTTGAATGGTTTAAAATCACTATTTATGTGCTTGTCTTAGATGTGTGCAAAGCACAGAAGAGAGTGCGGGTCTTCTTGCGCTTGAATGGTTTAAAGTCTCATTAAAATGCACACATGGAATCGAAATTTAAATTTTATAACGATTATCCGATTCCTGATCTTAAGTATCCAATTCCAGAATTTTTCGATTCCCAACAACAAGGGTGGCCGTGCCCTTCAGCTGTGACTGTATTAGTGAAACAGCAGCGAGTCTCTCTTAAAGGGACAGTTCACCCCAAAATGAAAATTCTGTTAGTTCACGTAGTCAAAGTCCTTTTAGGCAAGTCATGCCACTCGGCCGCCATCTTGGCAACGTCTCCGGGCAGCTATTTCGGACTTACAAGACCAGGCTCCTATTTAAATGAATGGGCAGAGAGTCAGAACTGCAGTTTCACTGGTCACCGAGACATAAAAACTGCATATATAGAAACAGCAGTAAAATATGATAAAAATCGCTGAAAAAGTTTGATGACTTTGCCCCAAAATAAGGTTTAAAACCCCCTTTTCCCCACAGGTTTTACTACGCATGCGCAAGGGTTCTCTCCCTCTGTCGTGCGCGCGTTACACAGTTTGAAGCACAGTATGTGCGAGCTCTTGCTCACTCGCTCTAGATCCCGGGAGATTTGAACTAATTTGCGGGCATCAGGGAGCCGCTATCAATCTGCGGGAGACTTCTGATGTCTGATATTACACAACTCACACACACACTTCATATCAAATCTGCCGCCTTTTCAAACAGTAACGTATTTTCCGCTGTCGCAAACCTCAACTGTGCGCATGCGTCAGTGGAACCAGACGATAGGCTTAAATGTTTCCCGGCTTGACTGTTAAAAGCAGACGATTGGCTTTCCAGCGGGAGGGGCGGGACATGTGCATACAACCGCCATCTTTGGCGTGACGGGTTTTCCCTATATAGTTATATTAAGGATTGATGAAGTGGCATGTCTCTATATAAATAGTCTCTGACGTAGTGTAACAGTGCAGCGCTTCTGGGTTGTATGTCACACGCATCACACACATCACACACATGACCAGCGTCGGCCAATAGTGAGCCTGCGTGTGGCGTACAGAAGCGCTGCGCTGTCACACTACGTGAACTCACTCACTCACAGAGAAGGAAATGATTAGTTGAATAAAGTCGTTATTTTTGTTTGTTTTTTTGCGCACAAAAAGTATTCTCGTCGCTTGATAAACTTAAGGTTGAGCCACTGTAGTCACTCGGACTATTTTAACGATGTCTTTAAAAACTTTTCTGGTCCGGCCAGTTTTAATCCCTTAGAAGCCTATGGAGGAGTGATCCAGCTCTCAGATATAATCAATAATATCTTAATTTGTGTTTCGAAGATGAAAGAAAGTCTTACGGGGTTGAACAACATGAGGGAGAGTAATTACTGACAGAGTTTACATTTTGGGGTGAACTATCCCTGTAACGTGTGTCCTGTGATTGGCTCAGCCTCCAGCAGTGGCACCAGACTGCACCGCGGGTATGTGGAAGAGGCCTCGCTGGACGATAAACCCCCTCACACCACACACATTGTGTTCGTGGTTCATGGCATTGGACAGAAGATGGACAAGGATCGCATCATCAAGAACACGGGCATGTGAGTCCTCAGGAATGCTGTTGCTGAAGTCTTCAGGGAGATGCACAGAGATGAATTATAGTGGATTAACTGGAAAAGTATTTAGATAAATCTGTTCAGGTTTATTAAATACATTCAGAGCTTCCGTTTTTTTTTTTTTTTTTTTTTACAATATTTGTTTATATTGTGGATATGTCTGTCATATACACAGTAGGGGTGATGCCTGGTCAAATAATATTGATATTACACTGCAAAAAATGATTTTCTTACTTAATATTTTTCTCTTGTTTCCAGTCCAAATATCTAAAAATTCTTAAATCAAGATACAATTACTAAATGAGTAAAATGACATAAGATATTAAGTCTTGTTTTCTGGGGATTTTTTTTTTTTTTTCTTAAAAAAAGCTACATTTTCTGCCAATGGGGTGAGAAAAATAATGTTGTTTCTGTTTAAATTAAGATAATTTTTATTACCCCATTGGCAGATAATTTAGCTTTTTTAAGCGTCAACACACTTAATTTTGATTAATTCCCCCGGAAAACGGGACATAATATCTTGTGTCATTTTACTCATTTAGTAATTGCATCTTGATTTAAGAAATGTTTGATATTTGGACTGGAAACAAGACACAAATACTAAGTAAGAAAAGCGTTTTTTTGCAGTGTACCCTTTTTCCAAATAGTTTTAAAAATATGTAAGCACATTGTATAGTTGTGCTTAAAGCCAATTGTTTTATTTGTGATAATGCAATGAAACAATTGTGCCGACTTAATTTTTGGCCAGGCTGTCATACAAAGAAAATATGAACATGTACAAAAATAAGAGAGAATAATTGATTACGTTGTAGTCAATACATACTTTTTTCCTGTGAGCTTTTTGTTTTTCTATGCGAGTAAAGTAACAATTAGTGCTTTTTTTTAGATAAATACCTTAACCAAGTTTAGTGTGTTGTTCTTCCCTCATATTTCAAATATTTAAATTATGTAAAATATTGTCCTCATATTTTGATTGTTTACTTAAACTTGTAGGATCATTAAAAACAAATATTCTCTCTGGTTATATAGATATAATACACATCTATATGAAGTATTGAGTTGTGAAATGAGAACAGCTGGATAGTGTGTAATGATGCATCTTTTTTTTAATAGAATAAAGAAACAGTGAAATAAAAGTATTTTTTGTTAAAACATTCTAGTAATATTAATATTAAATTGTAAAAGTGGCTATTTTCGAAACTAATAGCATGTTAAGATGCTTATCAAGTGCTATTTATATAATATAGTATTTAGAAATATTTTAAATTGATTTTTATTTGTATTATATTTTCAGTTTGAATTCTAGTGTCCTTTTATATTAGTTTCATATTTCTTCTTAGCTTTAATATTTTTTATTTCAGTTTTAGTGATTTAAGTACTTGAACTTTTAGTTTCCAAGGCAACGTTTCTAACTTTTCGTTTTTTTTTTATTTGATTTCAGTTAACATAGTGTGAACTAAAGCTAATTATTAACTAAACATTTTTAAATAGTACTGAAAGTGTGCACAGTTTGAAGGGCAATGTGATATAATTCTGTGTGTGTGTGTGTGTGTGTTCAGGCTGCGGGAAGCGGTGAGGAAGATGGAGGAGAAGCACTTCGCTGAGCAAACAGAGGAACATGTGGAGTTCCTGCCGGTCGAGTGGCGCTCGAAGCTGGCTTTGGACGGCGGTGAGACCGTAAACCACGTGTCTGTCTGCCTTCACTCTGAACAGCTGCTCTTATCACACACACTGTCCTTTTACCTTTTGTTCACAAGCACACACACTGTTTTATATGGAAGAGAATATAATCTAGTTCATCCTCTCTCAGCTGTGCAAACAAAGCATGACATGCATTAACATTAATAAGGAAATGTTGAGTGAGCTGTTCAATCATAGTTTGTGTTTGTATTTTAAGAGTGTTTTCCTCTTTCCATGCAGACACAGTGGAGTCGATCACACCAGATAAAGTGAGAGGCCTGAGAGATTTACTCAACAGCAGCGCCATGGACATCATGTACTACACCAGCCCTCTCTACAGAGACGAGGTGAACCACGTCTTGCGTTTCATTAGCTCTTACATTGTGTCATCATTGTCTCTCGCCCACTGAGTGGCAAAAAGAGTGAATTTTCAGTGTGAATGTGCAAAAAACACATCTAAAACGGGGAAAGAGCTTTGCGATTGACTGTACAAATAGATTTGACAATAAATCTCAGGGATATTTTTACAAACTGCTGAAAGCTACAGAACAGAGAAACAAATTAATTCGCAGAAACAACTGGATCTAGGCAGAGAACGGTGGATTTGCAGTCACCGTTTTGTGTCAATATGCTGAATTTAGGGGTAAAATCATTCCCTATGAATTGTATTATTTAATTGATGAGTTTTCAATACAATATATGAAGAGTTTGGTTCCAAAACGCGATAAACGCCTTTTTTTTTTTTTATTAGTTACTGCAAAAATCAGTATTGTATCTGGTTGGTATTGAAAAGTCAATGTTTAATTTCAAGTAAAATGCGATATCCGCTGTGTTATTCTGTCATGTTTTCTCCCTTTCTTTCCAAACCGCGACAAACGCCAGTCTCCCTTCTCTGCAGAATGCGATATATCCGCTCTCAACCAATCACAACGCACCATTCCGCTCTCAACCAATCACAACGCACCATTCCACTCTCAACCAATCACAACGCACCATTCCACGCAATGTAAACAGTAACGGCAGCGCCTTAAACACACCCGGCTTCCTAGTTCTTCTTATCTATTTTGTACTTTTCGATCAACAAACAAACAAAAACATGAATAATTTTGCCGGCATTGATGAACCTGTGGTGGTTTCTGCGGTGGGTGAGAAACGTAAGGCATCGAAATCGAATCATTTACGTGAGGAGATTAAGAAGACGAGGCACTCGGGAGGAGGAAAAATGTTTTCAATCTTCTTTACAGTTCTTAATAAAAATATTATACTAATAAACTTATGTTGTTGTGTATTCAAGTTTCAATATGAATTTTTTTTTTTTTTTATATTGATTCAATGGATTTATTGCATTTTGGGGGAAAAAATAATCTGTTTTTATAATCAATCTTGGTAACACTTTATTTTAAGGTGCTTGTAATAAGCAGTAATAAATAGTTAATAAGACACTTATAAGACCTTATAAGATGCATATAAGATGCATATAAGCATTAACTACTTCATATAAGGGTTAATTAAAGGTCCAGGCCCTGAAGAGATCAGGGAAACTACTCCCTCTTGGGAAGGTCAACTTTTAAGTGACTGGGAGTTTGTGTTACCATTTATGTTTGTCCGGCTGTTCTAAAAGTGCAATGTATTGATACTTGAGAAATTTATTATTTAATTTTATTTATTTATTATCATTAGTTAATGCTTATATGCATCTTATAAGGTCTTATAAGTGTCTTATTAGCTGTTAACTACTGCTTATTACAAGCACCTTAAAATAAAGTGTTACCGAAATCTTTGAAAATCAAAACCTGGATTTTTTTTGTTTTGTTATTATGACCTACAAATGCTCTGTGAAAGTTTGAAACAGAAAATAGTGGTTTTCATCTTTCCACTTTCTTGGTAAAGAATACACATTTTTACTCAAATTAATCTAAATGGATTTATTGCGTTTTGGAACCAAACTCTTCATATATTTACCATCGTATATTCTGCATAGTTGGATGAATTTAAATTTAAACTTTTAAGGCTGGACGATATGAAGATCTATATAACATTGATATGAGTGATCACGTGGATTTAGACCTAGATTGTATTTCTATAAAGCGTTCACAGGCAAATTTGCTTTATGTATTTCCCGGCGTCTAAATCAGGCTCATATAAATATCAGGAAGCATGATTCCTGCTGCATGTCGATATCCATGATCACTGGATCTTTGGTAAGTTGTAAGGAACACTATATCGAGTGTCACCCCCCTTTTTTTTTGAATATACATGAAAATGCACATTTCGAACTTATATGGTTGTAATTCAAGAATGCTTTGGAATAAAGACGTAAGATTGGTCTCGTTTTAAAGAAGACATTTGGCAGATTTTTGTAGAAGTGAAATAAATTAAGAAAGTGAAAGAGGAAAAAAGTTATAGAACTAAACTTTTTCACTAGATGACAACCAGACTCCATTACTGCCCAAATAAGGGCGCCTCCATTTCCATATGTGTTTTGAGTGATATGAACCATTATTTCCACAATTCTCCTACAATTTATGAAGTAGACATCCTATTCAGAGGTAATATGAAAAGTTTGGCAGATTTTTATATGAATTCAACCTCTAAGAAACATAAAAAGAACAAGTATGTGCGTTATAGCTCGCTGCCACATCACAAATGGTGAATCTATAATTTTTTTCTTTATATTTAAAAAAAATCCAGACCTTTTTTTTCTAAAATAATTGAATGGATGCTATCTTTTGAACTCTTGGCATGAAAACAAACTGAGGTTTCTACCCTTCTTTCATGATTTTCATGTTCATCACTATTTCAAAATAAAGGTCTGAACACACCTTAGGAGTATGAAAATATTCTTGTTGCAAATTGATAAATTACGGCTCCTCTGTAATTTAATAAGAAAATCAATGACCAACTATGGAAACTAGAGATTGTAAGCTTTCAAATGATATATAGTTTGTCAAGATTAGTTTAGTTTTAGTATAGGATATTACTGTTTTAAAAATGTAATGATTTGGGCCCACCGGTGGGCCGGTGACACTTAAGAGTTTAAACTGATAATCGTTTGTTTTACTCGCGTTTTCGCAGTTTCCCGTGTTAAACCCAGTCACGCCGCAGCTCTTCTGCCACTCAGTGCGCCCGAGGGAGTGTGTTCCCGCGGGAAAGTGACGTCAATGCATATATACAGTATAGCTGACCAATCAAGTATTTTGTTTATTTATATGCTAATGTTCATCCTTGCAGATCACTAAAGGTTTGACGCAGGAGCTCAACCGCCTGTATTCTCTCTTCTGCTCACGAAACCCTGAATTTGAGAGGAAAGGCGGCAAAGTGTCCATCATCTCCCACTCGCTGGGCTGCGTGATCACCTTCGACATCATGACGGGCTGGGATCCGGTGCGCTTCTGTCTGCAGGAGCATCACGAGCAGCTGCAGGGGGAAGAGTCGCACTGGACGAGTTACGAAGAGCGCCTCCTGCTGGAGGAAGTGCAGCTCACCAGGCAAAGGTGCGCTGGGTCACACGGCTAAGATCATTTAAAGGGTTAGTTCACCCAAAAATGAAAGTTATGTCATTAATGGCTCACCCTCATGTCGTCCCAAGCCCGTAAGACCTCCGTTCATCTTCGGGACACAGTTTAAGATATTTTAGATTTAGTCCGAGAGCTTTCTGTCCCTCCATTGTAAATGTATGTACGGTATACTGTCCTTGTCCAGAAAGGAAATAAAGACATCATCAAAGTAGTCCATGTGACATCAGTGGGTTAGTTAGAATGTTCTGAAGCATCGAAAATACATTTTGCTCCAAAAATAACACAAACTCCGACTTTATTCAGCATTGTATTGTGTTCCGGTTCTGTTGTGGATCCGCGTTCAGTGCCGCTGCTGACGTGTGTCTGGTGCGTCCGTGTATTCGGGTTATACACAAGGACAGTATACCGTACATACATTTACAATGGAGGGACAGAAAGCTCTCGGACTAAATCTAAAATATCTTAAACTGTGTGCCGAAGATGAACGGAGGTCTGACGGGCTTGGAGCGACATGAGGGTGAGTCATTAATGACATCATTTTCATTTTTGGGTGAACTAACCCTTTAAATCATCCTCATGTTAAAGGGGCATTATGCAGAAATCCCGTTTTTGTCAAACAGCGACCCCTAGAGTTACTGTGGAGTACTTGAATTTAACGTTACTGTCGTAAATACCACTCACTCAGAGCGTGACATGCCTGTTACATAGTATACAATAGTACATTGTGTTTAATTTGTCGTTTAATGAGATATAATATATGTTGTTAGTGGTGAGAATTTTCACGTGATTAAATACATAGATCCGACAATTTTAATGGTCCAGAGGCAGAACTTTTGCCAAGTGTGTCAGAGGTTCTGGGTTCTAATCGGTAGGCTACTAGCTAGTAGTATAGTTTATTTTCCTCATCAAACCCGATTGTTTATTAGTGGTTGTATTTCAAGCAGGGACATGTTTTTTGTGCATTAGGTTTTGTGATTTCACCATAACAAAATATAGAGAGTCTCTCAGTCCCCGCAACGGATTCAGGCGCGCGTCACAACAGAACACTTATCTGCACCACTGATCGCAGAGGCAACGAGCACTTTGGTCACTTGATTTCAAAAATAACACATTTCAGATCGCCTCTTATTTAACAAACGAATGAAATGAATGCTCTACTAGAGTTACCTGGAGATGTTTTATTTGTTTGTAATGGTAACGTTACATCCGTGCCGCGAGAAGTTTCAATGGGGACATAACACACCCGCAAATTATGCCTATGCTCGTGTCCGACTCCTCGCTCGGTCAGTCTGCCGTTTCCTCTTTCTCTGTTCCTCCGACAATGCTTTCCTAGCTTTCTGCATCTTATATGCCGGCTCAGCCATGACGATAGTGTGACAAACTCCATCCATCTATTCCTTGTTCCTGTGTGTATGTGTGAGTTGCCGTAAAGGAATATGTTACATCGCGAGAGCTGATATCACGCGATACTTCCTGACGCGGCCCGCCGCACCGAAGTTGCAAGTGAGATTTTTTCGCTCACAGGCACCAGGGGGGGTCGAGACGCCCACCATTCAACCCGAAAGAAGTTATATAACCATTTCAATAACTCTGAAGCTGTTCAGTTAAGCTAAAAAAGCTGCATAGTGTCCCTTTAAGTGCTTCATCATTGATATATAGCGCTGGTCACAATTGTTTCATAGCAGCGTTACAGTAGTGTACATTTTAGTAATGAAACTGAATACTTTTTTTTACTTTTTTATGACTAGATGACATTGGCATCATTAAACACTAGCTGTGACTATATCATCATGCATTATTGGTGATGAGACTGACAAGACTAAAATGTAGTTAAAAGTCCCCCTGTAGTCAATCATTTTATCCATCTTTGATCACCAAAATAAAAAATTTTAACGTTTTTTTTCCTTGGAATTTTTTTTTCATGCCTTAAAATATCTTGAATGTAACTCGACACCTTTGCCTCATTTAGTATGCACGGTTCTATGAATATGCAAATGAGCCCCGCCTCCACTCACTCACTCAGCTCAGAGATCCACTGGTTGACGATCACACGTTGATCTGATTGGTTAAAAGGTCGTTTGTGACGTCAGAAACACCAGCGATTTCAAACCGTGTTTTTGAGACTGTCTTTGGTTCACTGCAGTTTAAGCAGAAAATACTCAGCAATGCTGTCGACTTATGAATTTAAAAGACCACATAGACACATAAACAACATTTAAAAGCTTGATTTTCACCACAGGGGGACTTTATAAGGATATATTTTCTTCCCGGTGATTTACTACTCATGTTTGCAATCTGGCAACTGCAGAAAAAGCATAGATGATCTGAAAACACAGACAAACTCCACTGAGAGATTCTGTTCAAATGAAAGTGTTCAAAGCCCTAGCATTGTGAAACTGAGTTTTGCATAGACAAGCACCACTCACTCTTACGAAAAAGTCAAAATCTTGTAATTAATCGATGTCTGTGACAGGTTACGAGAACTGCAAGATCAGCTTCAGGGCCTGAAGGCATCGAAACCTGCACCCTTCCCTACGCTAAAGTTTAAGGTGATGTAATAAACATAAACATGGGGATCAGCTCAAATAACACATCTGTACCTCCATACAGGCAAACCAACATTTATCCAGACACCTCCAACATTTCTCACATTATCACAGTTCATTCGCTATAGTTTAGAAAATGGTAATACAATATGACAAGAACTTGATAGTTGATATTTGACTGGTTTTGTCCGTCCTTCTGTTAGACTCTCACACATGAATTATGTTGAATATCTGTCAGCTGTTCAATTTAACTACACAATTAGATAATACCAGTTTAGCTCGACCAGTGACCAAGCAATGCTTCATGTTGTTCAGTCTGTGTGTAAAAAGAGCATTAGCAATTACAGAAAACACATGATCAGCTCAAAGTGGAGAAATCATTTTTGGTCCGAAATGTTTATAAATGTTACTGTATGAAGAATATTTGGGTATAATATGTCACAGTTTACTTTATTTTGCTCTCCTCACTTACATAAATGAACTATAGTGTCCTGCACACACTAGTAAAAAATAATATCAAACATTATATCTGGTGTCTGAATAATTTTTGGTTTGGCTGTATAATGAATCTGCAGGTGGAGAACTTCTTCTGCATGGGCTCTCCTCTGGCCGTGTTCCTGGCGCTGAGAGGGATTCGGCCCGGGAACACCGGCGACCAGGACCACATCATGCCCAAGTCCATCTGCCAGCGCCTCTTCAACATCTTCCACCCGACAGACCCTGTGGTGAGGCGACCACACTACATTTCCCTCTGTGACTTCTAGGGCTGGTCCGAATACCATTTTTTGAGCTTCGAAGTTTCGGTAGTAATGAACATCGAATATTCGAAGCTTCGGTAGTAATGAACATCGAATATACGAAGCTTCGGTAGTAATGAACATCGAATATTCGAAGCTTCGGTAGTAATGAACATCGAATATTCGAAGCTTCGGTAGTAATGAACATCGAATATTCGAAGTTTCGGTAGTAATGAACATCGAATATTCGAAGCTTCGGTAGTAATGAACATCGAATATTCGAAGCTTCGGTAGTAATGAACATCGAATATTCGAAGCTTCGGTAGTAATGAACATCGAATATTCGAAGCTTCGGTAGTAATGAACATCGAATATTCGAAGCTTCGGTAGTAATGAACATCGAATATTCGAAGCTTCGGTAGTAATGAACATCGAATATTCGAAGCTTCGGTAGTAATGAACATCGAATAATCGAATCTTCGGTAGTAATGAACATCGAATATTCGAATCTTCGGTAGTAATGAACATCGAATATTCGAAGCTTCGGTAGTAATGAACATCGAATATTCGAAGCTTCGGTAGTAATGAACATCGAATATTCGAAGCTTCGGTAGTAATGAACATCGAATATTCGAAGCTTCGGTAGTAATGAACATCGAATAATCGAATCTTCGGTAGTAATGAACATCGAATATTCGAATCTTCGGTAGTAATGAACATCGAATATTCGAAGCTTCGGTAGTAATGAACATCGAATATTCGAAGCTTCGGTAGTAATGAACATCGAATATTCGAAGCTTCGGTAGTAATGAACATCGAATATTCGAAGCTTCGGTAGTAATGAACATCGAATAATCGAAGCTTCGGTAGTAATGAACATCGAATATTCGAAGCTTCGGTAGTAATGAACATCGAATATTCGAAGCTTCGGTAGTAATGAACATCGAATATTCGAAGCTTCGGTAGTAATGAACATCGAATAATCGAATCTTCGGTAGTAATGAACATCGAATATTCGAAGCTTCGGTAGTAATGAACATCGAATATTCGAAGCTTCGGTAGTAATGAACATCGAATATTCGAAGCTTCGGTAGTAATGAACATCGAATATTCGAAGCTTCGGTAGTAATGAACATCGAATATTCGAAGTTTCGGTAGTAATGAACATCGAATATTCGAAGCTTTGGAATCTGTATATGTCTGTCTGTCTGTTTGCATTTTGATTATTTCGAGAACCGTTCATCCAAACGACTTCACAAGGAGTGCAGTGTCGTATTTGGTGCAATATAGATAGACAGGCGAGACGCGACACGTTCAGAATTAATAAACTTTTAATAAACTACAGAACAGCGCCAGCGGGAAGCGCGCGCCTCACATGACCAGAGCTTATATGCTCCAAGAACACTGCACTAGTGATATAAAACACACACACACACACACACACACACACACACACACAGGTCTGTTAACTTAAGCAATATTTTTAATAAGGTAGTCTAATATTTTTCTCACTAACAAATAACTGACAAAGTAGGGTAGATTTAAATAAAGAAAAAATAAATTTAAATAAAGAAAAAATAAAAACGAAATTGTGACGTCCCAGTAAAATCTCAAAGTCTACTATATTTCGCAGTAGATTAATTTAGATTGGTAATAACGGGTAAAAAGGATAATACATTTTGTTTCTATTATTCTATGTTCCACAATGTCAAAGCAACGCAGCTTAACCCAGAACACAAGCTCAGGCACTTCTGTCCACACACACTCCGCTGTTGTGCTCTAGCCAGAGGATACTCCCGTTGCAGGAACACTTTCAGTAGTCCAAAAAGAAGCAAATATATTTATTAAAGGTGGGGTATGTGATTTGCAAAACGGCTGGCAAATTTTGAAAATACACAACTCAAAAGGTCCTACTTCTTTCCTCCAACGCTGGCCCTGACTCGCTCGAGGGGGATGGGGGAGGGGGGTGTGGTACGACTGTTTGATTGACGCACTTACTGTCCAATGATTCTAGGTGGTCTTAGAAATGATTGGCTGGAGTTTTTCGAGTCCTGCCCGTTCCACAGATGATTAAATTGCTTAATTTTCATTTCAGTGCTTTTAACTCAGTGGCTGTAAGTGGGTTAGGAATAGGATTTCAAGTGATTTTGAAAAAATGGTCAAAAAAGAAAATCACATACCCCACCTTTAAAGGTTCTCTAAGCGATCCTGGGTGACATCACTTCTTGTTGACGTTCGAATTATAGTCAAACAAAACGGAGGCTAGCTAGACCCTCCCTCCTCCTCATCCGCACACTAACCCCCCAAACCCCGCCTCCAAGCCCTTCTTGTGGGTCATTGGCTGGAACAGTTTGTTATGTTTCGGGGAGCGGGTCGCCGCAGTTTGTTTTTGTTGCTGTTTGTGGAGCCTGGGCTGTCTACAGAGATCGCGTTTCTTTACAGTGTGTTCAGGGGACAGGCAGCCAGCGGATAGTGAGGAGATGTTTGCTGTATGTGACAAAAAATGTTTTGGCCTAAAAAACGCGTGACATCGCTTAGAGCACCTTTAAGTAGCTATAACGAAGTTATATGTTAAGTATTATATTTCACCAGATTTTATAGTGTAAAACATATTCAAGCGCGAATGAGAACCGTTTCGAGGTGTGCAAAAAAAAAAAAAAAAGGACGAATATTCGAATGTCACATTTTCCACCAAATTATCATCCCTTCCTTACAGTTTAACGAATTAACAACAATGCCACAAATTATTAAAACACCTGGCTTATAGTAAAACACATTAAATTGAGTTAATGCCTAAATAATATATTTTAATAAAAAATATATATACCTATAACATTTTCAAATCGAATACCAACCCACCGAACGAATATTCGAGTATTCAGATATTCGGGTCCAGCCCTAGTGACTTTGCTGTTAAAGGTGCTCTAAGCGATGTTGGGTGACGTCACTTCTTGTTGACGTTCGAAGTATTGTCAAACAAAATGGAGGCTAGCACGACCAGACCCCCCTCCTCCTCATCCCGTCCCCCTGTAGTTTTACTGATACTGCATTCAAGGTGTAATGTGGCCAAGTTAGATAAATGCGTTCATGTAATGCAGAAAAAGAGAAACACATGATGAAAGGTTTCGCCACGTGAGGTTATAACTTTAGCTCCCATACAAGAAGGCAATAATAGCAAGATAACGTTAGCTTCGCGTTTCCCAGTGAGCATAAACAACGGCTCCGTCGTAAACAAATGTAGTCAAAGTTGTCAATAGGCTATAAATGAACATTCAAATTCATAGTTGGTGAAAACAATCATTCACACAAACTGTCGCCCTACTGTGAGTTCGCTTGATCATTTACAATAGAGATCGAGCGCTAGCTGCTAGAAACATATGTTGTGTTCACCAAAGCTAGCGCTGACTGCATAGTTCTAGCTAATTATATCCTTGTGTTTGTTAGCGAACATGAAAGTCCATTTAGAAAACCCAAACTGGATTTACCCTGTCAAGCAGAAACAGAGCTATACCTGATGTCGGACTGGATCTCTTCTGCCGGCGGAGATCTCGCCACCTTTCAAAGGCTTTTCCAATGTAAATTCGGGACTTCACGCGTTCCTTCTCCTTTTCCCTGTTCTTTGCAATCTGTTCATCTCTTCGGTCGTGTGTCGGCCATATCAAACTTAAAGAGTTATAGTTCTAACGTCCCTCTTCATGCTTCTCTCTCCTCCACACCCCCCAAATCATTCTTGTTGGTGATTGGCTGGAACAGTTTGTTGTGTTTCGTGGAGGTCGAGTGTCTACAGAGACCGCGTTTCTTTACAGTGTGTTCAGGGGACAGCAGCTAGCGGATAGTGAGGAGATGTTTGCTGTATGTGACAAAACATGTTTTGGCCTAAAAGACCCGTGACATCGCTTAGAGCACCTTTAATTTGAGAGAGTTTGGCATTTTTGTAATAATTGTTTCACTGTATTGCAGGCCTATCGACTGGAGCCTCTTGTTTTAAAGCACTATAGCAACATCGCTCCTGTCCAAATACACTGGTGAGTCTTGATTTGTTATTGTTAAAGTATAGTTTATGCTAGTCAGGGAAGTTTGTTTGTATGCTTATGCATAAATGTTACATTTTTTTTCCTCTTTTTTAATTTGTCCTTCCTGTAGAATTGCTTAAAGCAGTCTCGTTGTCCAACACTAAATTTGAGCCCCATATATATTTTTTTAACTTTGTTGTAACTCTTTTTAACAGAAACTGGGAGTGTTGGTGTATTAAATTAATTAACCACTATTCAGTTTGTGATTTCAGAATGTTTAAAAACTGTGCTTAAATAAAAAAAATCAATATGTTGATTTTTTTTTTGTGTTTGTTTACCATTTTATTTTAAATTATTAATTTAGAGTTTTGAATATACATTACTGGTCAAAGATATGGAATAATTAAGATTTTCTTATGTATTTTTTTATATAAGTCTCTTATGCTCATCAATTTATTTGATCAAAGATTCATTAAAAACAGAAATACTTTGAAATATTATTACAGTTTAAAATAACTTTTCTATGTGAATCTTATTGTGAAATGTTATTTATTCCCGTGATCAAAGCTGGATTTTCAGCATCATTACTCCAGTGTCACATTCAGAAATCACTCTAATATGATGATTTGATGCTCAGTTTTTATTGGTTATTATTTCTGATGATCAATCATTAATAATGGTTGTTAATATTAATGTTGCACTCTAAAAAAATGCAGGGTTGTTTTAACCCAAATTTGGGTCAATTATGGACGAATCCAACCGTTGGGTTACAAATTTTAATAAAAATTTTTTAACCCAATGGTTGGGTTTGTCCAAATTTGACCCCAATTTGGGTTGAAACAACCCAGCATTTTTAGAGTGTTAAAACAGTTTTTGCTGTATTTTTTTTGTTTTTACATTTTCTTCTGGATTCTTTGTTGAATAGAAAGTACAAAAGAACAGCATTTATTTGAAATAGAAATCTTTACTGTCATTTTTGATCAATTTAATACATCCCTGCTGAAAATCCTCATATTAGAGTGATTTCTTAAGGATCATGTGACACTGAAGACTGGAGTAATGATGCTGGAAATTCAGCTTTGATCACAGGAATAAATTACATTTTACAATATATTCACACACATATTCAGTTATTTAAAATAATTATTTTTCACAATTTTACTGTTTTCACTCTATCTTTGATTAAAAATAATGTGAGCAGAAGACACTTCTTTCAAAATCATAAAAATATTCCAATCTTTTGACCAGTAGTGTATATAATATTATTATTAATTTAAAAATGTTTGGAAGTTTGCCCCAGAGCCCTGGTTGAGGATCATTGGTTTAAAGGGGTCATATAATGGTACATGCACTTTTACAAGTTGATTGTACTGAAATGTGTGTTGGCAGTGCCTGTACACAACCATCATATAATGATAAAAATCCATCCAGTGTTTTTGTTTTAATCTCCTTATATGTTTTCCCCTGCCTCAAATTGAGCCGTTCGATTTTGTGACGTCACACGGTCGGAAGCCCCTCCCACGATTGTTGATTGACAGGAGCGTTTCAACACAGACCCGCCCTCGCTCGTGAGGGAGCTGTCAATCATAGTCTACGCGGACCGGCGCGGTCATTGTTGATATGCTGGAGCACTGTCTATGAGCAGAATGGCGTCTAAGCGATTGTGGTGTTCTGTTCTTGGGTGTAATAACGAACACAGCAGTCATTTTAATGTTCCTAAATCCGAACCGCTGAAGACGCTGTGTTTGTTTTCGAAGGGAATATTCCCCACGAGCAACGTCAATGCTCTCATGTTTGCGCGAATCATTCCACACACCAGACTGCTTTATAAACGAGGATCAGTATAAAGCTGGTTTTGCTTAGAAGCTGCTCATGAAAAAAGGATCGGTACCAGATATTCGTGTTCCTGCTGAACCTCCAGAACAACTGAATTGAGTGTAACGTTTTATTAAACTTTATATTAATCTTTGCAAATCGCTAGCTGCAGGTTTACACTTAGGGTACATTACGTCATGTTTTCTATGTATGATGTTCTCAATATAATTCATAATCCCACGTTTATACTGAACAACGCGTTATGGTTATTGTGTTTTGTGTTACAAACGGTGTACGCACAGAACAGAGAGGCGGGGTGAGCGAAGCTCATTATCATTTAAAGTAGGAATGTCCCGATCCGATCACGCGATCGGAAATCGGGCCCGATCACGTGGTTTAAGACTCGATCGGAATCGGACGTTACCTCCCGATCAGGACTCGGATATATGTAAATTAGGGGTGTAACGGTACATGTATTCGTAATTATTAAACCGTTTCGGTTCGAGGCTTCCGGTTCGGTACAGATACAAACCGAACGATTCCTAGGACCATTTTTACTGCAGACAAAATCCGCGCTGGCGCGATCACCACAACGTTGCGCAACATCAAATGGCAAACGTGTGAAAGCGGAACGAAACTGCGCTACTCATTATATTGTGCTTAACGGACCATTTATCAGTTCGGACCAGCAACATCTGTGCAGCGCCAGATCAAGCGACACTGTGCTGAGAGATCCAGTGAAGAAAACATTTGAATTCGCCACTGAAGTAATAACATCGCTGCGAGATCTAGTGAGAAGCATTCACATTTCTCCGTTATTAACCGTAGATCTCTATTAGATCAAACAGCGCTGACGTGGGAACCAGGAGAAACATTGTGAACATGGATTTAATGTTGCACTTCAAAACTCAAATATTTAAATGTTATTTTTAATGTGATTACCAAAACATTATTTGTTCATCCTTCAAAGATTACCCCCATTTATAAACCTGAAAGTTTAAAGATGTAGGAAAACTCAAACTTATTTAAAGGTTTTTCTTTTAATAAATAGGAAATTTCTCTGGCATTTCTTACTTTTTGCTGTATTGTATCGAACCAAACCGCAAATTTTGTGAACTGTTACACCCCTAATGTATATATATATATATATATATATATATGCTCATTATTTTTTTATACACTTTTAAAACATTTTTATTTTTTGTTTACATGCCTGCTGAGTATTTTAAGTTGAGGTGCTATTTGTTTTTATATTAGACTTTTTCTATATTTACTGTTGCACTAAAGTCTAAAAGTGAAGATTTTTTGTTATTTATTACTTGATTGTTCAAGCTACCTCACAGAAGTGCTCTGTTTGTTAACAGAGTTGTTGAATGTTAAAATAAGGTGAATTAAATAAAAAATAAGGAACATCCTGGATCTGTTTTTTCTCTCTTCTTTATTCTTTTTTTATGTATTATATAAGTATCGGATCGGGACTCGGTATCGGTAGATACTCAAAATCAAATGACTCGGACTCGAGGGCAAAAAAACCTGATCGGGACATCCCTAATTTAAAGTCATATGCACTGAAACGGCTTGCTGAAAACAGAGCTGTTTTTGACCAAGTAAAATAAGTGTTTTCTTACAATACTAATGAGAATTTTTAATTAAAGTATATTACAAACTTTTAATTTAGACCCTAAAGAATCATATTAGCTTGTACAAAAATGGCATTATATGACCCCTTTAAAGGTTACATTCGCAATAATTCTGTATGTTGGGATTTTCTGATATGATTTTGAATTTTGATTTTGATGTTGTTTTTAAGGTGTAACACCATCAACTCCAGTCCATATGATGAGATCAGACCCACATATATAAACGTCAGTAACGACACAGAGAACAGTCCCAGCACCTCACCTGTCCTGGCCAGTCGACACTACGGCGAGTCCATCACCAACCTGGGCAAGGCCAGCATACTGGGTACAAGTCAAGTCTCCTTCATTTATACAGCGCTTTTAGCAATATGGATGGTTTCTAAGCAGCTTTACAGTATTAACAGGAGATTACAGTAACAGAGATTGTTTTAGCTTTACAGCAGCTCTAGAATAAAGTTACTGTCCAGCTAAAGTTAGTTTTGATTGACTCACTTCCGTCACAACGATCATTAGTTACTAGTAGACTAGTTGAGACTTCAGAACTGCGTTGTCGCCGTGTGCAGGCGCAGGTCCTCCTTCATCAGATCCGGATACGGCCTGGATCCGGCGGACTGCGGTAAACCTCGGGATAGACAGAGAGACTAATGCTGCGTTCCAGTCAAGGTTATAATCGTTAACGAAAACGAACGAAAAAACGAAAACTAGGTGGGAAAAACTGAAATAAAAATAAAAACGAGGCATTACAAAAAAACGATAACTAACTAAAACTGTAATGTGTGTTTGGCAAAACTAACTAAAATAAAATTAGAGTAAATGTCCTTAGTTTTCGTCTTTGTCAATGTCTTTCATTTTTTAACGCTATTTAAAACACGGAGTGTATTCGTTCAGCTGCATTTCCTTTCCCTGCTCTCCCTTCGTCTCTGTCACACACACACACACACACACACACACAGCCCCTCCCTTCCGTGCACATCGCGTCTCCATGAAAACGAGAGTGCGACGTTGAAAGCAAGTTCGCGAAAGGTTGGTATCTCGTGAACACCTTTACACAATCACACATTAAAAAGTGGTGTAAAAATATTTTAAATTCTTAATACAATTTGGTCAGTGTGTTAATGTCGACCCGAGAAGCGATTGCGCCTTCTTTAGAAAGTTAACTAGTCGCAAATTTGAGGTAAAATGCACTTGGGTTGTCTATGTCAAAACACTATAAGCTGTGATTCAAATATTAAATAATGTTATGTCATTAATTTACTCTTACACTGAATGTTTGCTGCTTCAATCCAGATGAGTATTGTATAGGGTCAATTTAGTATAGGGTGTGGAAATTGTACAGCTGTGGGATTTGTATAGGGTGTGAATTTTATATAGAAGAAGATGTGTGGATTTTGTAAGGTAAAGGTACATTTCACATTGTAGGCTACATTTTATGTACTGGTTTTATTGTTGAATAGATATTTCTAAAATTGTATGATGTTTTTGTTGAGTTATTATTACACAATTCTTTTTCTGACCTTTTTGAACCTTGCCCCTGACAAATAACCCAAACTACAAAAAAACTAACACTAAAACTAAGCATTTTCAAAAAATAAAAGCTAAACTAAACTAGGGGTGGAACGGTACACAGAAGTCACGGTTCGGTTCATACCTCGGTTCAGACATCACGGTTCGGTACGATTTCGGTACAATGGAGGGAAAAGCAAAACAAAAATGCAGAAGGCATTGTATTTTTTAAATAAGTTTTATTTTAAGGCATAGAACCAGTTTATTTGTAGTGCACTGACAATAGTTTTATATAATTAGTTTATTAATTAAATTAATAAAAAGACAAAAAGACCTTGCGATATGTTCGGTAATTGTACCTGAATTAATTTAAAATTATTTTGCTATATTTCAGATCAATATATTTGTTTTCCTTCATTTTAATTAACATTATTAATTAACAATGTAACATTATTCTCATCTGAATTATAAATAATTGATTTCTGTATAAAATAATACTACCATTAAAAACACATTCGATTTTCTTTTTTAATCAATGTAGAATGTGTAAGATTAGTGCTCCGAGGACGAGAAATGAAAACCAATGCAATATGATGAATGTCCAAAAGATGGGACCCACAGACTGTTTTGAAATGGAGTTGGATAAATATGTTTTGCTTTTAAAACAGTGTGTGTGTGTGTGTGTGTGTGATTTTGGTTGGGTGACAGTTGTAGGTTACAGTTTGACAAGAGTTTACAGTGTGACAAAAGCACAATGTTGTGTTTTATTGCGAGTGTACACAAATATAAGTAAACACTTTGCAGGTTTAATGATCTGTATGAACAAAATGACGGAGTATGTTTTTTATGTTTCCACTGTTCGATCGCCTCTCTCTCTCTCTCTCTCTCTCTCTCTCTCTCTCTCTCTCTCTCTCTCTCTCTCTCTCTCTCTCTCTCTCTCTCTCTCACACTCACACTCACACACACACACACACACACACACACACACACACACACACACACACACACACACACACACACACACACACACACACACACACTCACACTCACACTCACACACACACATCTTGACATCGCTGCCTGTTCATTGTGCGGTCACGGTCACACCAAACGTAAATAGAGCGTCAAATTCGCGTCTAATGCGACGCTAGTCCAAAGCGAATAGGACGCGCGTATAAAGCCAACGTTTGAAGTGAACGCGCGTTCAGAGCTAAGCCGATAGTACAGATTATGTGTCCCTAAAGAACCCGCGTATCTAACAGTAGTTCCGCATTACATTTATTAATTTGCACGCGAGTTTTATTTATTTTTGTACCGTGTATTCTCCGTGTAAATTCGTGCACCGAACCGTGACGCCCGTACCGTTTCGGTTCGATACGAATACATGTACCGTTCCACCCCTAAACTAAACTAGCAGACCCACTTTAAAAACTAATTAAAACTAAACTGAATGTGAAAACAAAAATTCAAAACGAAATAAAAATAAAAACTAATGAAAAATGCTAAACTATAGTAACCTTGGTTCCAGTCCACTTTTAGAAACGCACTTGCGAACTTCCCTAAGCACTTCCCCTCGGGACAATCCCTGCCGCCATTTTGAAGTGTGTTCCACTTCGTGAAGTGGACAAGGGAAGTTTATATGGACCGACTTGATTTTGACCGAGGGAGCGAGTCTACTTCATATGTGCACTTCAGGCAGCGCCATATACCACAATGCAACACGATTGTGACGTCACCGCAGATCTCGTCTAATCACCACCACCACAAACAACTCTATGATATATTAATTATGATTTTTTTTCATTTAAAACAACCCAAACACATCTATACCGTAAAACTTCATATCGTAGCCCGGGCTTTTATTTTCCCAAATCGTCGAACTGCACCGGCTTGTATTTGAGACAGGCCTTTATTATTTAGTGTTGAGATGTTGTTCATTGAGTGTAGGCGTAGAGTCTCTAATCTCTAAAAAATCTCCAAATGCTCCACGTGAAACTGCGGTCTTCCGACCTTTAACTATCGCGTCAACTGATTTTGATTAATATGCGCGAGGGAGAGAGAGCAAGACAGCGCTCGTGTTGTTTGAAGACGTGAGAGTGCGCGCGCGCGGCCGGGGCGGACGCTCTGACGGGTTTTAGAAAATTAAATACAACCCGAAACTAAAAAACAGACCCGGCCTCTATTTGAGACCGGCCTTTATTTACCCAAACCTGCAGCCACACCAGGCGTGTAAAAGAGACAGGCGTCTATTTGGGACTCGGCTATTATTTGAAGTTTTACGGTATACATTTGGATGCTGCATTAAACAAATTCTTAAAGGTAATTTTTTTTATTATATATATATATATATATATAATAAATTAACTCCATTGTAGATTCCAAGTGATCAAGGGCTTAGGACGTTCCAGTTCAGCCATTGCAGTTTCCGGCAGTCGTGGCACTCATGCAACGCAAGCAATGACGTACATCCGAGTGAACGAGACGGAGGGAAGTTAGCGAGTGAGAAGGGCATGACTGGAACGCAGCCTAATAGCGTAGACGCCATCCGTCTTATGATGTAACGAGTACATCAGGATTTATGGGAAGTGTTCCCGGTCAGATCCTGACAAATGCATGAATAAGCTTCTCTAGGTATTGCTCAGGCACACATCTGATTCGCACTATGCTGATTTAGTAATGGCGTCTGAAGCTTAGATCAGAATCCAGGATGACACCAAGATTCCTGACTTCATGTTTAGTTTTTAGACCCCTGGTGTCAAGATAAGAATATACCTTTGATACTTCATCTTTTTTGCCAAATACGATTACCTCTGTTTTATCTTTATTTAACTGAAGAAAGTTTTGGCACATCCAGCGGTTAAATACAAAGTTCTGTCATGAAACTCAAGATGGCGCTGACTGACTGTCCTTTAAAGGTGCAGTGTGTAGATTTTTAGCAGCATCTAGCGGTTCGGTTGCGAGTTGCACTAAGAGCTCCGCCCACTGCTCACCCCTCCCTTGCGAAGAAGCTACGGTGGCTCAAACGGGACAAACATATCGTCGTCTGAGACAGCAGAGAATAGCCAGAGTAAGCCAAGAGTGTGTAACATTGTCACTGTTTCTGTACCACAGTCCATTATAAACCACATCATGGATAAAGTTTACAAAGCCATAGTCAGGTGAGGATCAAGGGTCTTAATATATAATATATTAATAGTAATCAGCTGATTGCCAAAGCCATAACACAGCGAGGGAGAAGAACTAAGTTACATGAAACAATCCAGCTACATATTTTACACTAACAAGGGAAAAGTCACTCCTCACGGTGTCTATGGCTAGCTTTAACTTTCTGCGGCTTCTCTTTCAAGGTAGTGACGAAGCGCGCTCTGTAGCGCTGTGTGTGTTCGCTGTCGGCTACGGTAGAAACATGACGTCACAATATGGCGACCTTCATAGAAGGGGGAGCCCGTGGTTATGTAGATATAAATGTCTCATTCTAAGGTAATAAAAACATTACGGTTTATTAAGTAAGTTCTTTATACACCTCTGAAAACATAGTTATGGATGTCATATTGCATTTCTGTTAATAGATACTCAAAATTATTACACATTGCACCTTTAACTCAATCTGCTTGCAATCACATGATTCTCTATAGGGCACAGCTGATTGGTTCCTGCTGAATCAGTAGCCAATGAGCTCGCTGCTCAACCTTCAGATGTTTGTTAGCATTTGCTGCGTGCTTTCAGAAACCCTCCCCTTCCCCAGCTCCACCTGTATAGATCTGCTATGGGATAATTCATGTACGCTATATTGTACAGTAGCAGCATGTCTGTCTTGCTCACAGAAGTGTGTCGTGTGTGTATTGACAATAGCAAGTCCAGTACAGCAGCAGTGTAGCAGATTTATACCGCCAAGACCAGACATATCAACACTGTCATATCTAGGGCTGGGAGAAAAAATCGATTCACCTAGCTATCGTGTTTTTATTTATTTTATTTTTTTACGATTCTAAAATCGATTTTTTTATTCCAGATTCGATATTAATTCAAATGAAATTGCTTTATTTTTGTCCTTGCTTGTAGACGAGGTTGACAGAAGTTAGCCTCTTTTGTTCCAACAGAGGATGAAGTGTGTGTGTGTGTTGAGTGTCGTAATATCCCAAGTGTGTGTGTGTGTGGAAGAGACGTGAGGCTGAACGCACTGAAATCCCTCACTCTACACATATACTGAGAGAGAGATAAGACAGTAGAGCTGCACGATTCATCTTTAAAAGACTGTGATCTCCATTCAAACACACACGCCATCTTCCAGTTCGTCTGTCTATTAAACTTTGACAAAATCATATCGCAACATTCAAAGCTGTGTTGGCGCTGACCCGGAGAGAGTCGTCATGAAACCGCTTCACAAACACTCTTTTCAACCTCATAGTCTCATTATTTCTGTGGCGCAATAGTTCAACCTATCATAGAAGGACTGGGATAAAAGTTTCAAGTTCAAATATGAACACTGATGTAGCCGTCAAAATCAGCTTTTGATAGAAACTTGGTGTTTAAAAAAAAAGTGGCGACAAGTGACTTAAAATTTTATTTGATATTGAATCATTTATTCAAGAGAATGTAGTATTGTATGATGCTTCTGAAATAAAACTCAGAAAGATGTGATGATTTGTTTTTGTAAATATGACTCATCTTATACATCATCGAATCGGGAGATGGGTGTATCGTCCCAGCCCAAGTCATATCCATTACCATGCTAAACACTCTCAGAGTTGTCATGACAGAAATTCATGTAAGCACTGGCACAGGGAGTTAGGTGACAGAGCTAGGTAGATATGGGTGTCATCTGGATAGCTGAGATGAGCAATATTGTTGTTTTGAATTATTTGGCCTAGCGGGAGCATATATACAAACTGAAGAGTAGAAGCGCAAGGATTGAACCGTGTTTTACTCAATGTGTCAAAGCAGATTCATAACTGCCTATGCTCACAAAGTAGCCTCTGCCTTCTAAATATGAGCTAAACATTGACCTTCCCAGTCTGTTGAGGAGTATATCGTGGTCAACAGTGTCAAATGCAGCACTAAGATCTAGTAATACCAACACAGAAATATTACCAGCATCAGCATTTAGCCAAATATAATTTTATATCTCACTCAATGCTGTCTCTGTGCTCTGGTGTGTTCGGAAACCTGACTGGAAGTTGTCCAAATAGTCATTTGAGTTGCTCATCTGATTTAAAAAACAACCATCAATAAAGGGAGATTTGTGATGGTCTATAGTTGTTCAAAACTGACTTATCCAGATTGCTCTTTTTTTTTTTTAGATGAGGTCTGACAACACCAGTTTTTAAAGTCCCCCTGTAGTCAATAATTTTATCCTTTAAAACTCATCTTTGATCACCAAAATGACATAAAAAAAAAGTGTTTAGTATATGCAGTTCTATTCAAATTATCATATGCAAATGAGCCCCGCCTCCACTCACTCACTCAGCTCAGAGATCCACTGGTTGACGATCACACGTTGATCTGATTGGTTACAAGGTCGTTTGTGACGTCAGAAACACCAGCGATTTCACACCGTGTTTTTGAGACTGTCTTAGTTAGTCACTGCAGTTTTAAGCAGAAAATACTCAGCAATGCTGTCGACTTATGAACTTACACGTGGTGTGTCTTAAAGCATATTAAAAACACCACATACACACATAAACAACATTAAAAGCTGGATTTACACCACAGGGGGACTTTAAGGACCTTGGGAAAATACCTAAAATGTTATACTTTATTTCTAGCTTTGTTTTCTGCCACGTACATTCAGCTTTCCTGCATTTACATAGAAGTCTTAAAGTTGCCATGAAACAGAAGTTGCTCAGTCTTTTCTTCCCTATTCTGCCGTATATCCGAGCGAAACGCTTCTGGAACAGGAACAAATGTGGGCGGGGCTTGATTGTGTCTGTGGGGAGTTGATTGGATGGTTGTGGTTTGCTATTGGCTGATCTCATGTGAGTGACAGGTTATAGCCCCGCCCTCGTCATCAGAGAACAGAAGAGATGCTGCATATTCTGATTCAAGATTACCAGGAACAGGAATTTGTTTTAAAAATGACGTGGACGGATAAATCATTTATTATAAATACTGCATTTTTCCATAAAAAAATAAGTACATTTTGATTTCATGGGGACTTTATAGGCAGCAAAAGAAGAAAAGAGAGAGATAATGTTTTACACTCTAAAAGTTGTCATAATTCACATTGAGTAAGATTGTAAGTGTATCACATGAGCTGGTGTCGTCTGCTAACCTGTGCGTCTGGTGTGTGTGCAGGAGCTGCGAGCATCGGCAAGGGCATCGGCGGGATCCTCTTCTCCCGCTTCTCTCGCTCGCCCAGCCTGCCGTCAGCCGGGGATTCTGGGATGTGTGACAGTGAGGACAGCCAAAGCACTTTTTCATTTTCAGCCATATCTCCATCCTCCTCTTTATTCGACGCAGCAGGTGTGTACAGCCAACGGTGTGTGTGTGTGTCTTAATGTGGAGAGATGATGAATCCAGCGATGGAGTGAAATACATTAATACTTTCATTCAGCAAAAAAGTGACAGTAATGGCATTTATAATTTATATTTCAAACAAATGCTGTTATTTTCAACTTTCTATTAATCAAAGAATCCTGAGGAAAGTTTTCACAAAAATGTACTATGATAATAATCATAAGTGTTTCGTGAGCATCAAATCCTCATATTAGAGTGATTTCTGAAGGATCATGTGACCCTGAAGACTGGAGTAATGATGATAAATTCAGCTTTGATCACAGGAATAAATTACACTTTACTATATATTCACACAGAACAGTTATTTTAAATTTGTAATAATATTTCACTGGTTTTACTGTAATTATGATCAAATAAATGCAGCCTTGGTGAGCAGAAGATACTCTTTCAAAAATATATAAAACATCTTAATTATTCCAAACTTTTGTGAAGTGTGTGTGTGTGTGTATATATATATATTCAAAACTCTAAATTAATAATCTAAATTGAAATGGTAAAAACTCAAAAAATAAAAAAATGTTCTCTCAATAACTATTTTTTTAATTAAGCACAGTTCTTGAACATTGTGAAATCACGAACTGAATCGTGGTTCATTAATTTAATACACAATATATTCACACATATATTCAGTTTTTTTTTAATTGGTAATTATTTTTCACAGTTACTGTTTTTACTCTATTTATGATCAAAATAATGCCATCTTAATAAAAACAGTTACAACAAAGTTAAAAAAATATATATATATGAAGCTCAAATTTAGGGTTACACAACGAGACAAAAAGATTGAGAACCATTGCTTTAAACAATTGTACAATTAGTAAAAAAAGGAAATAAAATGTAACATTTATGTATGTAACATACAAATACATTTCCATGACTAGTATAAACTATACTTAAACAATTCAACTTTTGAATCTCAGTGTATGTTTGACCTAAACCCTAATCCTTCAGGGTTTTTATTGAGTTCATCAGAGGGGGTCCAAGACCTCATGAGTTTTGTCGCACTTGAATCATGAATACACCATTTTATTTTTGAATGGATTCAAAGAGTTTTGTGGTTGAAATTTTAACAAGTAACACATCCTTCACTCGCAGGTCAAATTGAAAACCTAAAACTGCTCAAAATTCGAACTAAAAATGCTCAAACTTTACCAAAAAATTATTTTATAATGTCTACATGTGTATCCGAATGCATACTGAAGATAAATGAATTTAGGACCCAGCGGAACAGCTCATTTGCTGCATATAGAGCTATAAGGCCATCTAGAGTCATGAAATATCATGTTATATTATTATCTTTTCCACAAGAGGTCGGCAAACACACCCAATGTGAGATATTTAGAGCTGAATTAATAGGGTTAGGCATGAAATTGTGAGTTGTTTTGAATTTATGTTGAGAGAATGTGAGGAATGTGCTCAAATGACTATTTATTTATTGATTAAATCTAGTCATTTAAAGGTAAACAAAATAAAAATAACAAAAAATCTCCCAAAAAAATTGCATTAAAAAATATTATCAAAATGAAATATAAGCAGCTTTCTGAACAACAACAAAACAATCTCCCAAACAATTACATTTAAAAAATAGAAGAAATATAATCAAAATGTAATATAAGAAGCTTTCTGGACAAAAAAAAAAAAAATCTCCCAAAAAATTACATACAAAAGTAGAAAAAAACATTATCAAATGAAATATAAGAAGCTTTCTGGACAAAAACAAATTAAGTATAATTTTCTGTTTATTTATTGATTAAATCTAGTAATTTAAAGGTAAACAGAATAAAAAATTACAAAAAGTCTCCCAAAAAAATTGCATTAAAAAATATTATCAAAATGAAATATAAGAAGCTTTCTGTACAAAAAAAATTTAAATCTCCCAAAAAAATACATTTAAAAAATAGAAGAATTATTATCAAAATGAAATATAAGAAGCTTTCTGGACAAAACAAAAAATAAAAATCTCCCAAATTTTTTTTATTACAAAATAGAAAAAATATTATCAAAATGAAATATAATTTTTTGGGAGATTTTTATTTATTTTTTGTCCAGAAAGCTGCTTATATTTCATTTGATAATATTTTTTCAATTTGTTTATGTAATTTTTTGGGAGATTTTTATTTCATTTTGAGAATATTTTTTCTATTTTGTAATAAAAAAAAATTGGGAGATTTTATTTTTTTTATTTTTTGTCCAGTAAGCTTCTTATATTTCATTTTGATAATATTTTTCTATTTTGTAATTTAAGAAGCTTTCTGGACAAAAAAAAATTAAGTATAATTTTCTGTTTATTTATTGATTAAATCTAGTAATTTAAAGGTAAACAAAAAAAAAATGTCCCAAAAAAATTGCATTAAAAAATATTATCAAAATGAAATATAAGAAGCTTTCTGGACCAAAAAATAAATAAAAATCTCCCAAAGAATTACATAAAAAAAATAGAAAAAAATATTATCAAAATGAAATATAAGAAGCTTTCTGGACAAAAAAAAAAAAAAAAATTCTGTTTATTTATTGATTAAATCTAGTAATTTGAAGGTAAACAGAATAAAAAATAACAAAAAATGCCCCAAAAAATTGCATTAAAAAATAGAAAAAATATGATCAAAATGAAATATAAGCAGCTTTCTGGACAAACACAAATGAAGTATAATTTGAGTGCTTTGGGTGGTTTTGACCCGCGGTTGAAGGATCATTCAGGTAGACATGACTGTTTTCTGCTGTTGTGTGTGTCCCAGTTGAGATGGAGCATCGCATGGACTACGAGCTTCGGGAGGGTCTGGTGGAGAGCCGCTACTGGTCAGCTGTGACCTCACACACGGCCTACTGGACGTCCCATGATGTGGCCCTGTTCCTCCTGACCTTCATATACAGGCCCCAGACCAGCTCAGACCCGGCAGAACACACACACAGTAAAGACTGACCCATCCGGTCCCTCTCGAACACTTTAAACAACACTTGGTGCCTCTGAGTTTCTTCCCGAAGCCTTTCCCGTACGGACACAGGCTGGACTATGCAAACATGCAGCGCTCAATCGCGTTATTAAGAAACTGTCATATTTTTTTACATAATGTAAGTCCAAAGAACGGAGAGTGTATGCAGTACATGGGTCAAATCAATGTCTATTTAGTCAGCGGTACATCATAACTCCCGGCACTTATTTAAATGTCTACGTTTTACAGATATTTTTGTTTTGACTTGAGAAATCAATATCTGTTA